CTTGTGTGATTGTCACTCGCATGAAAAGTCACTGATTTACCTCTGATTTTGGACTTTTGTCTGCAATTTCATTAAACCTTTTGCCATGTGAAAATAAAAGCTAAAATCGTGCAGTGTGAATTTGCCATCAAAGCAAGATCTACAGTAATTTGCAGCAGTCATGATTATTACAACCCCCATTAGGTAAAAAAAAAAAACTATATTTTTAGGGTCAGAATGTTAACCTTAAGGTTATTTATAAGCTAGTGTGCTCTAAAAACTGACTAAATTAACCATCAGATCAGTCAAATGTAATGCAGAATATGCCCGTTTTGGTGTCTGAGTACAGTGTAGCTGTTTTTGTAGCCTGTGGCTTTAAATGTGAATGAGATGAGCTGGTTTTCCCTGTCCACCGCTCCCATGTGCGTATCTGCTTCTCATCATGCGCTACCTCAGATAAACAGCCGTCAGTGACAGAGAAAGACTTGTATGAACCTGAAATACAGCTCATACCAATACCAAGTAAGTTAAAAATACCAAGTAAGTTTATTTGATGTATTTGTGGTGGAGTTTATTCAAGCCTTTCTGAAATGATGAGTCTCACACAAATGCTATTTGCAATACAAACCATGCGTGACACCACGCGGCCATGGTGATTATAACAGTTAAGAATCACACGAGAATCTGCATTTTTACTGTCTTTATTACAAACATGCTCTGCTTTAAGAACGTTTTAAACTTATAAAACTTATGAAAATCACAGAGAGTTGGAACAGATGTTTTAATCTTAGTTTTTTGCAAAAAAAAAAAAAAGTTCTGTGGACATTTGTATACATGTTTTTATAGAGACATGGCACCTGTCAATCTGTGGACGGGGAAAGCCACACTCCTACATTACGTTGCGGCAGGCCTCAAAATCACTTTTATTTGTATCAGGAAATTTTAAAAAATACATGTGTTGAGTTTATTTTACTCCGATATAATTTTTGAACACACTAAACCTACACACAGTTCTGTCCAAACAGCTTACAAAAGATGATTTTCATCATACAGTAGGAGCTCTTTAACAAGATATAAATATCCAAAGTTTGCAGTTTGACTTAAATAGATGAACACATTTTTTTTTTTTTACTTTACCTCATACTTTAGTTTTCATTAAATCTTCTGACTAGTCAAATGCTCTCTTGGGGAAAAAAAAACAAGAAAAATGTGAGATCCATCTAAACTAATAAGTAACTAAAGGTACAAATGAAACTTAAAAACAATGGCTTCATCTAACAACTTCTCTCAGACAGTGATTTCTGAGGCCGAGTTAGTGCACAAAGGCACCTCGTTTTAAATATTTGATCATGTTCAACAAGGTAGTGAGAATATTGGTAATAATTAAGGGTACTTTTGCTTACTCCAGTACTAACTTATCACTAGAAATACCATCACAAGTGGAAAACGTTGGTCAAAAACATTCATTTTTACACACAAACTGACAGCCAAGCAGCGATTTGAGACACTGTGTTTATTTTTTAGCTCAACTGTCAGAAATGGAACTGTGGGATATCAAAGGCAGCAAAGGACTGTCTATGCTGCCTACGAAATTCGATCAGAAGAAGGTTCCTCCTGAGACAGGAAGTGAAGCAGAATTTGGATTCGGAAATATCTTCCTGACTTGCAATTCTGCCTATGATGGCAGCATTTTAAAGCTTTTTAGACGCAGCCAATGTCAACTGAGGGTACAAAAACAATGTACTAAAACTTTTTCTTTGTGTTTGAGAAGTTTCAACCAGAAACAATGCTATCAAAAGAGTTGCTGTATTCTCAAACATAAAATGCATTTATCTTTAAATCACAATGTTTTTGAAATATTTTCTGCAAAAGTTATACAGGTAAATGTAACTGCTGATCATATCATATCATATATCACATCATATATCAAATCATTCATTCTTTCCCAGTGTTGGGTAGCGGCTGGAAGGGCATCCACTGTGTAAAACATATGCTGGATAAGTTGGCAGTTCATTCCGCTGTGGTGACCCCAGATTAATAAAGGGCCTAAGCCAAAAACAAAATAAATGAATGAATGAATAATATAACTGCTGATAATGATTAAAAACCAGTGGATACCTTCGTAATGAAGCATTTCTTATATTTTATTATTAAAAATGATCAACTATGGCTAACAATAATATTACTTCCAATTCTATGACTAGCAGAAAGACTTAAAGAGTTATTTATTCATTTATTGTACACCATTGCATTAAAACCACTCGATTGCTCACTTTTGTCTTGTTGTAGAAAATTGACCAACATATAACTGAAAGTGCTAAGGGCCAAAATGCCTCAACTTGTTTTACTGAAAGTTTGCTGAAGTAAGAGAGTAAATATTTCATTATGTTCAATATAGTAAAAAAGCCTACAGATATTCCCACAGCCAACTGAAACTCACCCACTCACAGTACACCTAGTGCTTATGGTGCGTTCAGGGTGGGTGAGGACACACACACACACACACACACACACACACACATACACACACTACCTTCGCTGTCACATTTTTCTTACTAAGTGTTCAAACACAATAAGCCTGAGCAGATGATGAGACAGGAAATGTCAGAGAAAGAGGAATTGCACTCCTCCATCTTTTGCTCTTCTCTTCTCTCTCCTCCTCCTGTATGTCTGATATGTAGCTGCAATCCTTCTGATGAGCCTGACCTCTAAAACAAGCTTCAGCTATCCACCAATCAGGACCTTTAAACCGTCTGAAACACATGACTCTTTGTTGTCACCTCCTTTAGAAATCACAAAGCCTGTCACCAGATGACAAGAGCCACTTTTAAGTGACTGCGCTGGAATATTCTCTGACAGGAGCAAGAACCTTTGAAGTCTGTGAATGAAATATTTAGTAACACATATGATGTTTTACAATTGTGCCATAGGTTAAGACTAAGGGTGGGGGCGAGGAGATTCCCCCATATTGGATTTCATTGATTTGTCAACCCCTAACTTGAAGGACCAGGACATACATGCATACACTACAGCTAATTTAACTTACCCAATTCATCTAACCATGTCTTTGGACTTTTGGGGAAAATCAGAGCACCCGATGGAAACCCAGGGGAGAACATGCAACTCCACACAAAAATGTCATTGCCAACTGACCCGCCAGGGGCTCGGACCAGCATTCTTCTTGTTGTGAGGCGTTGGCACTACCTATTGTGCCACTGTGCCGCCCACATTATACTTTTAAGTTAAACTGCATAGAAATTCACTACAATTAGCTCAAATTAAGTGTGTGTGTGCATGTGTGTGTGTGTGTGTACAGTTGAAGGTAAAATTATTATCTTGTGAAATTTGTATTCTTTTTAAAACCTTTTACAAGCTATGTTTAATAGAACAAGGACATTTTCACAGCATTTGCTATCATTTTTTTCTTCTTTAGAAAGTCTTATTTGTTTAGGTTTGGCTGACACTATTGCTTACACTGACACTATTGCTGTCTTTATTATAACATAATCATCCCATGTTGTTTTTTAATGGGGTGGTCCATAAAGTATTTGTAAGACTTGGTTGTGTTTATAAGATGAAAAGCAATGTGTGCTCATGCTTCATTTGTAGAAAATCACGTTATTTTTTCATATATCTTACTTTTATTCTATACAGCTACTTTGCTAACATGAAAACGACTATTGTATTTCCTAGTTCTTCTGAAAGGCCCGCCCTCAAGGGGCTCTGATTGCTCTACTAAGATAGTGTGCTGTGATTTGCAGACTGGCTCCACAGCACTAAGAAAAGTGTCACTCTTCTAATAGCATGCGCTTTCGCGGTGTGTAAACACTGTCTGACAGAGTACCTGTTAGCCCTATCAGTTTCATCCTGAATCAGTTGAATCATCCTGAACCTTTCACATATAATATGCAAGCATGTGTAAGTAATATGAAACAGTCGCATATTTTTTGCAAGTTTGTTATTTGAGATGTAAAACGCAGGGAAAGCAGCTGCATAGAGAGACACTGCAGCGCTGGTGAAGATTGTGGCTGTTTATGGCGGTTTGATGGATAAATATGAATTTGTTGCTAAATTGTTAGCGGTGCCAAACAGCATTTCCTGTTGTTCACATCCTTGTTTAAGTCCTTGCTACAACATACCATTAACACTGGAAACTGTCCTTGTGGTTGATCAATTTTAACAAATAAAAATACTTACAGGTTGTGGCTCACAATCAAAAGCTTTGTCTATTATTGTTGGAGTTGCTCCTTGTTTGAGGAGTTTTTAGCCGAATCCAGCGCTGAACTGGGAGTGACTCTGGAAGCTCTCCTTTGTCACATGCTTGCTATATATCTTCCATAATTCTTTGGCACAGTATTAAAATAAATTGTAAGCACTTCACTCTTTGTGTCGAAGCCCAAATACAGAAACAGAACAAGCTCTGTGTAAATAGCAGCAGTTAGACAGCATTTTAGCTTTCTCTGGTGTAACGTTAAAGAACCTCTGGCCACACCCCTTTACTGCACAGGGTGTATGCTTATGGTGAATGCACATAACCTGAAGCGTTTATAATTTCATTTGCCAAAGTGTATTTTTTTTTTGTAGTCCCCAAACTTTGTTCGCTGTAAGCTAACTTTGTAAAAACTAGTGTCTACTTTTGCCTTGAACTTTGAGCGTATTACATTCAGAGATGTTGTTTATGTTCACACAGCTATATTACACATGAACTGAGGGGTCCCGACTCGCACTTTGGGAACCACTGGTGTAGTATAGTATAGTATAGTATAGTATAGTATAGTATAGTATAGTATAGTATAGTATAGTATAGTATAGTATAGCATAGAATAGAATAAAAGCTACATTTTTAAAAACACATCATAAGGTCACTGTTATTTGACCCTAGTACTGTATATACTTCATGTATACTTCATTTTTTTCTTTTTTTTCTGATTCAGTATAATTATGCTTGTCTTTTTGTTTTTCAATTAATCTGTACTTAATGGCATAAACCTCTAAGTCCCACTCTGCTTGTTCTCTTTCAGGTGTTTTGCAGTGCTGTTCTGCTCCTCTGAAAGTCTGAAGAGGTTTAAGCTGGAGATCCCACTGCAGGTAACTCTACTTACTCATTAAAGCTGTTTTATTTGGTTCCTTCTTAAAAGACTCAAAACCAGGAGAAATGGAGAATAAATGATGTAGGCGTCAAAAAAAAAAAAGCGAGAACACTGAAAAAATGGATGCATGTCATATTTTATTTCCATGTAGCTTCTAATCAGATTGTAGCATCTTAAAGAGCGTCTCGAACGCCAACCAGGATATGAGCTTCACGTGGAGTCTGTTTCCCCTCCTCCAAAATCCATCACAATAAATCATGTCACTCTCAGTCACACAGCAAAGCTCTGTTAGCACGCTAAAATGGAGACTAGTCTTGCTGAAAATCTACTTATGAGTGGAGTGTGAATGTATGTTTAGGGCTGGACAGTTGGGATGTGTCCCTGCCAAAATGAAAAGACCAATATTTGAAGCTTCCACAGCTGTGTTTGGATGGAATACAAGCAGTGAACATTCTTCTAAATGGACTTTTTTTTTTATTTTTTACATTTGATGGCATTGTTTATGCTTGATGTATTTGCTTCTGGTGTATTTTCCAACTGCTATGTTTTCCAAAGCGCCAGACAGCAGTTTTGGGTAATTACTGGCTAAAACACAAAATATTGTATATGCAGAATTGCTTGGCAACAAACAACAGATAACAACTGTTATTCCATTTCATAGATCATGTCCTTTTTTGTTGTGCTCAAGTTAATTTGCTATAAAATTTAAAAATAATAATAATAAAGACACACTTTATTTAAAGTAATAAAAATGTAATCATCTGTTTAGCAAAAAGAATGTCACAAGATCTCGTGAGATTAAATCTGTAAAATAAAGGTAAAAAGTTGTTGCACGTCCGCCGGTTCCTGCCTCAAAATGAGCAAGTTTGAACCACTTGTACATTAAGGAAGCGTTCAGAACAAACAAAATGCAAGCGAAGAAGCTCGACACAGAGGAACATAAACACCTCACTACCAACTAGCGTTTCGGAAGTGTTATTGCAGAGCAACCGAAACAGCGCGCAGAAGTATAAATGCACAGCTATGCGTGTTGTATGCGCCGTGGGTCACGCCGATCACTTGACGCAAAAGTATAAACCAGGCTTAAGGCTGCCTTCTGTGATGCACGTCACTCGTTTGGAAGGGCGGGTGTGACATAATCGCTTTTTTTCTCACCAGAGTAAGATGTGCAGAAAGCTGCATTAAGTGCAGTACAGAAATGTTAACGCCGCAATCAAACTATTATCATCGTGTAGGACTTCTAGCCGCATTTGCAAAAGGACAGTTCACACAGCTACTTGACATTATATTCTCGGCACCTACACACATCTCTAAGCGTGCACACATACTGAACTGCTGGAGACTCAACACACCCGCCTTCACCGTTACCAAACACGTTTATGCTGTACGGAAAAAGCGGACGTTTGTTTTTGGTATAAGTGACCAAATTGTACACAAGGACTAAAACGCTTTTATGTTGTCATGTAGCACAAGTATTTAAGCATTTTCACATCCACCACGTAAAAAATATGAAATAATACCTTTGCATCACATGCACAAATCAAGCCATGAAAACTACATTAAGATCCCCACTGGTTTAAATAGGCCTAGATAAAAAGAATATGGCCAAATGAGAGCATTTCTGTCGTAAACTATAGGAAAACTTGTCAAAAAGAAAATGAAAAATTGAAACCATGCGAACAGAATAAATACAGGAATGGAGAAAAGAGCGCTCTTTTATTATCTGCTGTCTGTCAGCGCCCGCTCTTTTTTTTTTTTTCTCTCCTGGTCATTGCGCCTTTTGCCGCTTGCTGTGTAAATGCAGACAATCGGATACGAGTCACTTTTAAAAGATGATAAATGTAAGCAGGTCATAAAAAAAATTGTATACTGTCACAAAATCCGAATTGACCACATACTATAAACACCAGAAAAACTATGAAGTATAAGACCAATTTATTTAAAAAACATAATCAAAATAAAACATTTTGAATACTAAATTATCTTAATTTTTTGAAGTATGCCATAAAATATTTCAGATTCTCATTTAACATGTTTTCTTATTTATTTATTTATTTATTTTTTACAATAAAACCAAAATCAAGTGTAGTAGTGCAGCAGGATTATGTTTGATGTCTTTGTAAACCAACAATGCTTTGTGTGTAAAACAATGGTCAATCGTTTGGCAGTTAAATGGATAAGATCTTAAAATTTTCTTGCAGTTTCCTTGTTTTTCTACAGGTTTTGTAAATAACATCAATTGTTCTCTCTTGTATTTATTGCCTTATATCAGTTATTGGCTTCTAAATATAAACATATTTCATATATCAGTATTACTAAGTACAACATTTGCATATTAATGCATTCATATCAAAACATGTAACTTCTGACTTTCATGCCACCTCGCAGCAGTTTATGGTTTTTGGTTGCTCTTCAGCTTTGCACAATGTACATATAGAAATCTGGGGGCCATGGTGATAAGCCATATGTAGTTGTTTTGAGTTATTGTAAACATTGATGTTTTAAATTGAATTGAATTCATTTGGTGCTAGATACTCAAAGGCATGTGTAAAATTTCCAATGAAGTCAGTCCTGAAATTATTTAAATATAAGCTACTGTTATAGGCTTGCTGTAGTGCTGCAGGAAATCCGCAACGTGTTTGCTTATATGAACAAGAAAAGTTGCGGTGTCTCTTTAATTAGGTGCTGTTTAATGTTGTTTTAGTGTCTGCTATCTCATTGTTTTGACAAAAGAAAAATATATATTTTTTAATTTTGCAGTTTTACAGGTTTATAACAACACGATAGCGAGGAAAACATAATCACAATGACGGTCAGGCTGTGCTTTTTGACTGGATGAATATCTGTGTTACTCGCAGTTCTGGCAGTCCTGATTCCACTTTTGGCATGTTTGTTGTTTAACCCCCTGCAGTAAAAATGTTTTTTTTTTTTTTTTTTTTTCAAAATTACAGAATCATTGAAATGGTCTAAAACTCCTTGAATTTTTTCGCATTTTGTATTTGAGCACAAATAATTGAGGCCAGGATTCTTTATGCTAACTGGTTGTAAAGAAAAAAATAGTTACACTTGTGGATTAGTGTGTTAAAAAAGGAAATCAAAAGATATTAACTGCAACATTTATTCAAATTTGTTTTTTGAATATTCAGAAATTAAACACAAATCTTTCTCTAGAGGAAGCAGTAAGCTCAAATAAAATGACCTTACCTTACTTTAAGGAAGTTGAACTCAAATTAAGGAGATAGTGTAGAAAATTATTATGAAAACATAAAAATCATAATTATAAAACTACAGAACACTCAGCAAACTAAAATGAATTATAAGAGGCAGATTGAAAAGTTCTGATTGTGCAGAATGAAGTGTGCTCACTCTTTCATAAGTAATGCTGTCACATGCAGATCGCAGTCTCGCATTTGCTCTGGGATGGGGAAATTAAAATAATACATATATATTTCATACCGCAGCCTCTTTCGATAAGCTAATCGATTTTGATTAATCACCTACTTCAAATCACATTTTTTAGGAGAAAATATCTAAAACTTGGCAAAAAGAAGTCTTTTAAATTGTCTAAATGTATACTCAATTTGCACATTTATTTCACAATATTTATTATTAGCTAATAGAATGTGCCATTTTTAAGTAATCTGTGTCTTTTGAGTAAACTTTTGAGAAAACATTTTACTTCACTATATTCCTGCTTCCAAGAAGGATTTACGAGCACATTTTTATCTTTAGTTACTCCTATAATTCTCTCAATTCAATCTGCTGCAATTCACAAGGCATTTAATTAGTCCTCCAAAACAAAACAAAAAAGCAAACCCGTTTCACATCAAACAGAGCATAATGACCCCACAATGCCTTGTCAGCTCCTTAAAAAACATGGCAAATTATTTATTGTCTCTCGCGCTCATTAGCATGCAGTTTACATCCTTTAAAAGAAAAGAAAACATGTGGTTTCTCCTCTTTGAGCGCTTCCCCTGTGGATGAGCGGAGGGAACTTGGCGAGCGCTCATCACCCCAAACACTTCAATGTTATCTTCTCTACTTCCTCCTCAGTCGCTCCCACTGGGACTCTCGTCCTCGCTTTGAAGTAGCTGCACTTGAAAAAGACATCTCGTGCACGCTGAGAGGAGTAATATGAAGAAGAAAAAAAAGCGTAAGAGGAGATTGGTTCTGGCTGCTCGAGTTAGAGGGATTTGTGGGTCAGACTCCAAAACTGCACGAAGCAGCAAAAGGATGTAATTGTTGTTGCTGCTCAAAAATCAAGCGAGTCGCTTTTTTACCAGGAAAAAAAGTTCTGAGCGATGCCTGCAGGACCGAATCGCTGTCTGTCTCTTTCATTCCAGGCAGAATAGCAAGACCTTCCTCCTCATTTGCTCATGAAAACATTGCTCAGTCTTGTCAGTGTGTGTCCTCTCATGCATACAATCTGTGGATCTCTCTCCGCATGTAGCTTATTTGTGTATATACTGTAGTAAAAGCTCAAGTTGCTGCTGGCCGCTTCAAATCAAGCTACTTTCATTTAATGCTAATTGAAGCCAAGGGTAATGATGGCACTGGCAGGCACGCTTGCTCTACTCTTTTTCTCTTTATCTTTTTTTTTGTAGCCAGAATCAAAAAGCAGGCTGCCGTTTTCAGTTTCTGACACCGGCAATCGCTCTATCAGACAGTCGAGATTTCATCTGGAATAATGCGATGATGTCTACGGGCTGTCGTAATGAGAGATTGTATGATGAAGGCTTGTTTTGGCACGTAACAGCTGGCTGACATAAATTAAGAAAAGCCCCGCTCTGTGATGCGTGTTCTTGCGATTTGTAGGGATTGTTGAATTTATTCGCTGTGGGAACTGAGTTTATGGTTTGTAAGAGATGATATGCGGGTTTATCGTGTTGTGATTGTGGTCGACATTAGTTGGAGGTTTGATACTTGCTCAGGCCTTGATGATACCCAGTCATTTATGATCTTTGGTTTCATGCTGAGCAGGGAAGATGTGTAGTGTGTTCAAAACTGTACACTAGTGCTGAACGATATTGGAAAAACCTGCCATTGCCATATTTGTTTTTCTGCGCTATATATTGTTATATGAATACAATTTCACAAGCTGGCTTGAACAGCTCTTTTTGGAAAAAAAAACTTAATTTAGATTAGTTGGGTTGATTTTGTAAGGGTGTAAATCGTGTATAAAAAAAATCATAAACAAACGGCAAGCAAGAATAATTACAATACAGGATAACTACAATAATTATAACAGCGCTTAATGGTTTAGAGTCAAGCAGCATTCGGACACAGAAATTAAATAATACTCTAAAACAATTACTTTTTAAGTACAGTTACATGTTTTTGAAATTAACATTCAGAATAGCTGGTGGTAATTTACTACATATATAAAAATTACAAACTTTTCCTGCAGATCAATATTTTTGTCTATTTGACTAGTGGCTATTATCAGAAATATGTCACAGCATTATTTTTTTTTAAACTTCTTTCCAGCTCATTTTTATCCAGTTATCTAGATAGTCCAATGTATTGTTTGACACTTCATTTTTGCTCATTTAAAGTAGATTTTTGGGTTTATTTTGCACTTCCCTTGTTTTTTTTGGTTGCAACTAAAAATGTAAAAAACAACTAGCTCATTTGCTGTAGTTAGTGTTGCTTTCTGGAAAGTTTGCAAGAATAGAGAGGGAGTGAAAATAACACACATTTCACAATAACACATCATTCAACACAGCAAGTATATTAATTTAAACAAATTAAACAACATGTTAATAAAAGTGGAAAAGTGACTATATAAAATTGTCAAATAACTAACAATTGAGGGAAACCTAGTGGTTTGAGCGATAGTCACAAAGTGTAAAGAATTACAATTTTAGTTAATTATTTTGTGCTGCACTGTGATCCTTAATAAGGGGCTTCTAATGTCATCAAAGGATGCTTGTTCTAATTATGCATGACAACAATTTGCAATACAAACTACTGCTGCGTGATACTGGAAAAATCTAACATTGCAATATTTTTTATTCTGTGATATATATTGTAATATCAATATACATTTCACCATTTGACTTGTATCTCTATCTGGGAAAAAACATCTATAATGGTAAATCGATGGGGATGATTCTGCAGTACCAGTGCATCTCCATACAAACAATCTAGAAACTTTTTAGGGTCCCCCAGCACATTTCTGTTGTTTTCTGTGCTACTTGCAGTGCATTTCTTTATTTGCATGTGTTGTGAGGATTTTCATACAGATGTTTAGTCAGATATTGATAAAATAATGTTTATCATTTGCGTCTCCATAAATCTAACAAACAATCTAGAAACCTTTTGGAGTCCTCCAACACTGCTATTTGCAGTTCATTAGTGTATTTGGTTGTGTTCTGAGTATAATGTAGAATATTAGAATGTAGAATAATTATCTGTAATGTACAATCAAGAAAAAAAATGACATTTCGTTTCCTGAGTCTAACAGTATTCAAATATAGTAACCGAATGATAAAAATCATACTAATTCAATAAAATTAATTGTAGGTTCACAAATGGTAAATTTTTTTAAACCTGAATGCTTTTAAAATCATTATTCAATCACAGGCATCAAAACACATCCAAATGATGAATTATACTAACTCAAAATTGCAGATCCTATGATGTGACAATTGCAAATGCTAAAACAATATGTTGTGCAGTCCAAAATGTAATATGTGTCTTCTGCAAATCTTACAAAAATGTGTAATTTTCATTACTTTCTGAAACAAAAATACTTTAAAAAAATAAAAATAAACAAGACACATTTAAATGCACTGTATTAAAAACACTAAATCTTTATCACAATTTGCTTTAGTTGCTTTGAAGATTCCTTTTCATCTTTTGGCCCACATCCGCCTTTCCCCTCCAAAAACCTCCTTAAGGCCTCGAAAGGGTTAAGAGTTGCAGACTTGGTTTATGGGACGGCATGCTGTGTTCACCAAAGCCATCGGAGGGGGGTTTGGTTATTGCCGGTAATAGCATCATTAGAGGCAGAAGCGTTCCAAACCATATTAAAGCCTTATAGCGGTATCAGTCATGTGAAATGATATGCCTTTGTTACGCCAGACTCAGCCCACCGTTTCATCTACCTAACCCAGAGATATGGCTTTCATTGCTATCGGGCCTCGCCGCCGTGATAAACGATGCTGCTTCATGTGCCAAAAGCAGCCGCACATCTCTGCTTTGCAATTGTTTTTAATTAGCTGGCTAATCAGGACAATCGTATTGACTCGGTTCTCACTTCTTCTTTTATTTTTCCAAACAGATAAAAGGAGGAATTTTCGCTCAGGCTCTTGGTAAGGTTACAGTAGAGTCTGTTTCCTGTGTAATTTTGAGATAAGGTGAAACAGTTGGACCCTCCGTGCTGAAACTCTTGCACGTCGTCCCTGAAGCCGCTGGCCTTTCGTGTGGTTTCAGCGAGATGGTGTGAGCAGATATTCCTCTCTCTTTTTCTCCGTGTTGAAGGGAGGATGGTGGTAAGGTATGCACCAGGGGGAAAGAGTTCCTCTCTCCTCAGTTTGGGGTCATGTGAGCCGCTTGGCGGATAAGCCTCAGTGCGGCGGGCAGAAAGTGCTAGAGGCGCAGCGCTGATTAAAACTCAGACTGCGATCTATCATCCCCCCCCCCCCCCTTCAACCCCCCAGCGTCGTCTTCCTCATATTATTCTCTGGTGTGGGCGCCACGTAACAGATGGGTTTCCCAGAATCCAATATCGGTCGGTAGGGGTAAATGCTATTTGCATGTGCCCATCACCCTCCTCCAGAAGACACCCGTATTCCTTACAGTGCGTCTTTTCTCTGCTCACTTTCTCTCTGGCCGTCGTCCTCATTTCTCTCGCAGGCTGTCAAAGCTCTTATCTTTTTCACGGTGGCTTTTCTGCCACTGAGAAGCTGAGAAGCTTCTATATCTTGTCTTTCTTTTTTCTGTTTCATTTCTATGTATGATTCTGTAGGCTGTTTCTAACAGAAGAGTGTTTCCATGGGTTGAGATTTAATCAATATATGTGAGTTAATGGCGTTGAAGCCAAAATTGGAAATTTAGCTAATGTTCTTCCTCGTGTCATTCCAATTCTGTTTGGCAAAGTATATTATATTGTATGTATAGAGTATATTGAAAAGAAATAATGAACAAGGTGTCGCGCACAAACAAAATGACGCAAATATAGCTTTTTTGAGCGTTTGGTGAGAAACAGTCTGAATTAAGGGCTGGGAGATTTGGCTTAAAACCAAAATCTTGATTATTTAAATATATTCACTCAATTAACCCATCCATTAATGAACAATTTTTTAAATTTATTTATTTATTTTTCACATTCGTAATTCGTAAAGTTTTGTACAGTATATGTGCTCACATATTACAAGTTAGTGATTTCTGAATGAACGGTGCATTACTTGATTTAAAAATAATAATTGAAGGAAACACACATTACCTACTATCTATGATTATTTATTGAACATCGACGTTGAACAACTGAAATTAAAGCGCACATTGCCTAAAACCAACTAACAAATAAATATCACTTGCACTTTTGGAAACAAATAATTTTTTTATTAAAAGCAGAAAATAATCAGCATCTCAGCCACAGCCATGTCACCCTGCAGCCCAAGACCGGTTACTCACTGAAGCTAAGAAGGGCTGAGCCTGGTCAGTACCTGGATGGGAGACCAGTAGGGAACACTAGGTTGCTGTTGGAAGTGGTGTTAGTGTGGCCAGCAGGGGGCACTCAACCTGTGGTCTGTGTGAGTCCTAATGCCCCAGTAAAAGTAAAGGGTACACTACACTGTCAGTGGGCGCTGTCTTTCGGATGAGACGTTAAACCGAGGTCCTGACTCTCCATGGCACTTCTCGTGAAAGAGCAGGGGTGTAACCCCGGTGTCTTACGATCATGGCCTCCCAATCATCCCCTTCCACCGAATTGGCTCTATCACTGTCTCTCCACTCCAATAGCTGGTGTGTTGAGCGCACTGGTGCCGTTGTCCTGTGGCTGCCGTCGCATCATCCAAGTGGATGCTGCACACTGGTGGTGGTGTGGAGAGACCCCCCCTCATGATTGTGAAGCGCTTTGGGTGTATAGCCATATACAATAAATGCGCTATATAAATACACATTACATTACATTACATCTCTTCTAAATAAAATAACGCTTGCATATCCTGTAACTTTTAAACAGTTTTTGCATCTTCTATACACAAATATTGCAAGGTAAACAATCATTTTAATGTAACGGAAAATATGCCGTCTCAAGGCATCTCTGGCCAGCATCTAATCATCATCAATGCAGTGCAAAGTAAAGCTCAAAAATGAGTTCATCATCCTAATTGACCAGTGATCAGATGTGGCTGCAAAGTGTGGCTAATAGAGCTGGGTCACGTGACTTCACACATGGTAGGGAAAGTAACTGAAAAACTGCCCAACCCTAAACTGAACTGTTATTTTTAGAAATGTTATGGCTTAATAATTGGATGGTTTACTGAGAGACGCTAAAGTCTTTACGCTACAAAATATTTTTATCATTAACCCTTGTGCTAGAATTCTGTGTACACTGTATACAAAAGTGGCCCGCCTTCACTGAACCTAAAATAAAGCAGATACATTCAGCCCTCAAATCTATTTTGATTGAAGAAACCACCTCATCTTCATTACAAATTCGGAATGACTGCCAAAACCTCTGCCTTCACACAGTCAGATATATATTTAAATCACTTCAAGATTAAAAGAAAAATGTTATTTTATTTTAAGGTGTTATTTTTTACAGGGTTACAATTTTACAGTAAATGCAGCATTTGAGCTTAAGAAACTGTTTTCAAAAGCCTAAACAGTTTGAATTTAACATACACAAATGTAAATTATACTCAAAAGCTGCGATAAACTTTCGGATAAATGAGCTAAAGCATAGTTTGTCAGAAAATGAATTCTGTCATCATTTACTCCTCCAGTTGTTCTAAACTGGTTTGACTTTCTTTCTTTTGTTGAATTCAAAGATGTACTGGAGAATGTTGGAAAATATTCAGAATATCTAATTTCGAGTTCGAAAGAAGGAAAGAAAGAAAGAAAGAAAGAAAGAGAAAGAAAGAAAGTCATGAATGTTTACAACCTCTGAACTGTAAGTAAGCAAAATTATAGTGAGAACTATTCCTTTAAATGTTAGTCTTCAAACAGAGCTGTAATATAATATAACAATAAAAACATTTTAAATAAGAAAACATTATATTGTGACTGATTTTAACGTTCTGATCAAGATCTTCTGCAGAAATTAAAAAGGCATTTGAATGATAAATGATGATGTAAACAAAGACAGAATATCAACATTTGGATGAAACAAATCAAATCAATGCATACTAACATATTTAACCTCTGTGCAAAGTCAGTTTACAGTAAACAGTAAAGACTCCCATATCATCCAGCATGCTCTGTACGTCCAGATAGAGGCGCTTCTGTGCTTCAATCTATCAATTTTACATTAAAAACTGTCTGCAAAGTAGGGAAAAAGAGAAGCAAGGTTAGAATCACTGTGTGCAGTTAGGACATGAGATCAAGAATTCAGATTATTCCTCATACTGTGTGCAATAAGAGTTGTTCACGTAGCTCGTCTCTCTTTCTCCCATTTTCTGTGCCCTCTTTCAAAGCTCCGCAGTAATGGGATTATGTGTGCCATGGCTGACTTTGTAAGAAAGAAGGAAAGGCAAAAGAGAGATGTCAACACCGTGCTCTCGGTGGACTCAGATGGAAAGACCTTTAAAAACAAGATCACCTGGTAACCAGAGGGCAACCTAGGGCTTCTGGGAAACAGAGGGAGATCACACAAAATTAGACTCAATACAATCATAGAGAAAAGCATGTATTGTAGCAGTTTTTACTTTGATTCATGTAGACAATCTAACACTAATTATTGTAATGTCTCTATCTGACATTAACATGCGTGTTTTATTATCACTTTTCCAAAAAAAGTGGACATTTGTTTACTTTGTATGCTTAGCATGTTTCTGTCCTGCCTAATCAGTCACGTCTGTGTGTGTTATATAATGGACTCCTATACCCCCCCCCCGAAAGAAGCAAGAAAAACAATGTAGGTGTCATATTAAAGAGAGATGTAGTATCGGTTGTATTAGTTCTGCTTTTGTGTCTTGGTTATAGGATTTGTTTTTATGTATAGATCTTCCTTCATCTGGTAAATATGTACCATAAACAGCAGGAGCTTTGGAATTTGGAACACATTCTTATCTTTGATGGATGCTATTAATCTTACTGACCACCCATAGACAGAGCACACAAGCTCCGTCCAGCCCGTAACCTTTTCTCAAATACCACGTGTGCGTGTATGTGTACGTACACGTACACACATCATTCATGAAAAGAAGGTCCATCCTTGAGTGCCACTTGAATGACATGCTGCTCCACTATCTCATCTCCGTGGTACCTGTGAAGGGTTTACTTTGTCATCTTCTCATAAATGTATTTTCTGAAACATTTTATCATTTAAACATGGCCTGTGAAAACACCACATGTGTGTTTGTGTGTGTGTGTGTGTGTGTGTGTGTGTGTGTGTGTGTGTGTGTGTGTGTGTGTGTGTGTGTGTGTGTGTGTGTGTGTGTGTGTGTGTGTGTGTGTGTGTGTGTGTGTCTGTGTGTCTGTGTGTCTGTGTGTCTGTGTGTGTCTGAATTAAAGTCTGAATTATTGGCCCCTCTTTATTTATTTTCCAAATTATGTTTACAGAGCAAGGAAATTTTCATAGTATTTCTGATAATATTTTTTCTTTTGGAGAAAGTCTTATTTGTTTTATTTTGGCTTAAATAAAAGCAGTTTTAAATTTTTTAAACACCATTTTAAGGGCAAAATCATCAGCCCATTAAATTTTTTTTTTCGATAGTCTACAGAATAAACCATCGTTTTATTGACTTGCCTAACTATCCTAACCTGTCTAGTTACTCTAATTAACCTAGGTAAGCTTTTAAATGTCACTTTAAAATATCTAGTCAAATAATATTTACTGTTATCATGGCAAAGATAAAACAAATCCGTTATTAGAAATGAGTTATTAAAACTATTATGTTTAAAAATGTGGTGAAGAAAAAAAATCTTCTCTTCGTTAAACTGAAATTGTGGAAAAGAATAAACAGGGGGGTGAATAATTCTGACATCAACTTCATATATATATGTGAGTATGTCTCCAACGTTTATTAGATTTGCTGGGAATATTTATGAATGTCTCCTCTAAACCTATAGAATAGCATTGATGCATCCTGAAGTAAAGTGAAACGGCCATAAACTCCATCAAGATAAACAAATTGTATGCAGAATCTTAGACCTTAAAATGAATAAAGTATAATTATGAACACTGTGTCATCTTAACTGAAAGCTATGTTATGGTTGCTGGCCTCACGCATCACGCTGCCCTGTCAGTCAGTCAGTCAGTCAGTCAACGTGTAACCTTAAGGGTTAAATAAATAACGCACAGCACTACTACGATTACAGAAATGTTCACTCTGTTATAATTCATTTACATTTTAATACGTTTTGGTGTGATTATAACTCACTATATGAAAAATAAACAGCAACAACTGAAGGTTTTGAATGAGAAGCTGTAATGAAGCCATGGCGGGAATTAATTTTGGTGTGGCGCTCACATTGAAGAATGAATTTAGTGGAAACCATGTTACATTTTTAACAGTTATTTAATTCTGTCTTTAATTTTTTTAATGAATTTAATGTTGTTATTATTTTTTTATTATGTATGTTTGCATAGTATTGCATAATATAAATGTGTACATACACATCTACGAAAAAAATAAGAGCCCTATTTAGAGACATTTTTCAATAAAACTGTCTTTTAGAATATTTTTCCTACAGAAAACGATAATTAGTGAGAATAACAATTATTAAAATAACAATTTCATTAGTTGTGATTTGAAAATCATAGTTATTCCATCTTGTTTTTATATAAGGTGTCATTTCTTTTTATTATTATTATTATTTATTTATTTTATTTATTTATTTATTTATTCAAAAAAATATTACTGTACAGTTTGAACAACTCCTGTTTGTCAGCTATCAGTTAACCAACCCTTCTGGCCAGATTTTGTTACCTGTGCATCTCTTAATTATCTTCAGAGTACAAAGCCATAGTTGCATTTTCATAAAGACAAGCCTATTCTTAGCATGCAGCCTGAAAACGCAGCGAGTGAACAATGGTCGTGTGCATCTATAGATCAAGCCTTTCTCGCTGTCTAATTGAAATGCTCCCTCGGTGCGCTCCATATGCGTGACGTACACATGCATTTAGCTCTCTCTCCCTCATAAAGGTGATAGTCCTCGTTTAGCGACTCGATTTATTACCTCTGCTCATCTCATACCTATAGTAACGACCTTTGAAACTGCCTCTCCTCTCTCGCTCTCGAACCCTCTCTCTCTCCCACTTGTCTCCTTTACCACATGTCTGCAGTCTCAATTCATTTCCCTTCATTTCATTTGGCTGTCTTAATGGACGAGGGGAAGGGGAAATAGAGCCCATTACTGGCCTGTGGACTTTCATCATCTCTCTCTCTCTCTTTCTCTCTCATGGCTCTCTAATGGCTAATGCTAATGAACAGAGACATCTTTAACAAAAAGACACTGAAGCAAAAAACAACCTTCCATTTCGGAGAGGAAATTGGGTTTTACCTTTTTTTTCCTCCCTCTTTCTCTTTGTGTGTGTGTGTGTGTGTGTGTGTTATTTGAGAGTGGTTGTTGTAGACACAGCCATGCCAAGTACAATGTATTGACCTCTGGCCTTGAACAAATGCTAATCAATGTGTCCAGCAGTCCAAGTCCAGGAAGCCCTTGGGGACGCCATCCAAAACCCCCCTCTCTTTGTGGTCTAGACAGCGGTCAGGAGTCACTTTACTTATTTAGCCTGAGCATTTACTCCTTAAATGGATGGTTTTCTCAAAAATGTCATCATTTACCCTCCCTTCATTTGTTCCAAACCTGTTTAACTTTCTTTCTTCTGCTGGACAGTAAAAGAAGACACTGTATAATTGTTATTATTTAATTTTAATTTTAGAATTTTGTGTGTGCAACACAATCGTCAACTACTGTTGTTGTAATGTGTTATAGCAATAAATAATGTACATTTAACGAATGTTGGTAACGCTTCACTCCCATTCAATAATTCTCTCACGGAGCATCATGGGATAGCATAGCATCCATCGTATGCACACTTCCGTTTTACGGATAAGACGTTAAGCTGACAGTTTTTCAAATTCTATGAATTCGGACATACTGCTCGGCTCGTATACTTTTTGTAATGTACTATATAGTATGGAAGCATGCAATTTCAGATGCAGCCAACTTGTTCAAAGTGAAGAAAAAAGTTCTTGTTTTGTACCCTGACATTTAAAAAGAATATATATTAGAACAGTAATCACAATACCGTGAAACCTTAATTTTTTTTCAAGGTTATCATACTGTTAGAAACTTGTACCGGCCCATGCCTACTTGCCAACATTCTACCAAATATTTTCCTTTGTTTTTAACCAGAAACAATTAAAAGCCCAATGAGAGTATCATTACATAATAATAATAACAATAATAATAATAAAAAACAATAATAATAATAATAATAACTTATTATTATTATTATTATTATTAATATTAATAATAATAATAATAAATCTATTATAAAATATTTGACTAATACACTGTAAAAAAAAATGCAGGATTTCACATAATTCATTCATGCTGTCCCAACATCCATTAGGTTACTAAGTTACAACACAATTAATGATTAAGTGGTCTGAACTTAAAACAATTAAGTTGTCCAAAAAAAATTAAGAATTTTAAATAAGTAGTTTTAAAAAAGCAAAACATTTTGGAGGGCATTAAATTTTTTTTACTTTTCTTGCTTGTTCAAACTATTTGTTTAAAATGAATTAAAACAACACAATTTTTAAGTTGTTTTGTGGACAAACTAATTGTTTTATGTTGAATCCACTTAAATTTGTAAAAACTATTAGGTTGACTAATCGAATTGTGTTGGGACATCATGAAGGAATTATGTGAAACCCTGCATTTTTTCCAGTGTATGTGGTTTAAATGCAATATGTGTCTTGTTGACTATACAAGTAAGAAGTAAAAGTATGTTATATACAAGTAGATTTACAATTAATTTGCTTTACTAGTTACAAAAAAACATATACAGTAAAATTCCTGTATGTTTATGACCATAATAAAAGGTAGAAACTAATTTGCTAATTATTTAAGTTGGATTATGGCTTGCGGAGCCTAAGTGCTGTCTGTCACTTTCTTTGGTCATTATTGTGCATGACCGTATCATAGTTAAATCCATACACACTGTAATACGTTTTATTTTGAAAGTTACATTTTCTATAAAATATGTATGGGCTACATTTTGCTTGGAGGAAACAGCTGTAGTGTGATGACAGGTGAACACTGAAAAATGTACAACAGGAAAATTGCTCTCCATAGCATTAAACTGTATTTATTATATGACTAAAAACAAAGATTAATAAAATTAATAAAAATATTATCTTTTCTATCATTTGAGTCTGTTCGTTGTGCACATGGTGATGTGGATTGAAGAATAGTGATCTGATCAGCTTAATTTTTTGCATAATTTGGCCTAGCAATGCTCATACTGTGTGCTCAACAGGGAAAAAGTGAACTGTTCCTTTAAAACTTATCAGGATGGTTGCCAGTTCCTTTTATTTTCTTCCACCTCTACTTGTCTTGCAGTATGTTTTTACACACCCTGCTCATTCTTCTTGAAAAGTTGCCAGATGCTCTTACTTTTACTCTCCTTTAATGTGTGGTCTCTTTCCAAGGGCTTTTGGCCTGGCGTTTCTCACTGCACACTTAAGCGTCCACAGAGGAGTTTTCTCATGGAAGGAGTGCCACTTTACTTTACTAATATTCCTTCTCTCACACATAGTTTTGTGTCTGACTGTAGAGTTTGGCTGATAGTATGTGTGTGCGTAGTGGATGTTGGTCCGATTAAGGAGTATTTGTTCAAGGGCGGGTTCTTCCCCAGTGGTTTTGGTTTGTTTGTAGCAAAAAAGTAACCGGCCAGTAGTA